TTTTTTCTTTTTGCTTATGTGGTGCTGAGGAATTGAACCCAGGGCCTCATGAATGCAAGGCAAGCGCTCTACCACTGAGCCACCTTCCCAGCCCCATGAAAGCCACATATTCTTGTACCTTGATGGACTGCCACCTCCTAGGGGTCTGCTGCTATGGCACAAGGCTAGGCCTTCAATGCAGAGAGCTGAGTTGACACGAGGACCTTCCCAGCACCTAGATCGGCCTGGCAGTGCATACATACTGGGCTCAATTGGGGTCATGCCGATAAGGCTGTCTGTAAACACCACCTTCTGTGGCACAGATCCTCTTTTCAATTTCTTTCTTTGCTGGGGAGGGCTGGTTCTTGGACTTGAATTCAGGACCTGGGGCTATTCTTGAGCTTTCCAGCTTAAGGCTACTGCTCTACTACTTTTTCTTTTTTTTTGCCAGTCGTGGGACCCGAACTCTGTGCCTGGGCACTGTCCCTTAGCTCTTCAGCTCAAGGCTTGTGCTCTACCACTTGAGCCACAGCGCCACTTCCAGCTTTTTTCTGCTTATGTGGTGCTGAGGAATCGAGCCCAGGGCCTCATGCATGCAAGGCAAGCACTCTACCTCTGAGCCACCTTCCCAGCCCCTGCTCTACTACTTGACCCACAGCTCACTTGATTTGTTAGTTGCAGAGTCTCATGGACTTTCCTACCTGGGTTGGTTTTGAACTGCAGCCCTCAGATCTCAGCCTGAGTAGCTAGGATTCCAGGCATAGCTATCGGTGCCCAGCCCATTTTATTTTTACTTCTTCCCAGAGGAGGGAGCTGGGACTCAGGGCACAACGTCTTGCCTGGAGCCCAGCTTGAGAAGCCCTGGACAAGCAGAGGCCTGGAGTAGAGGATCTACCACGGTCCTGTGTGCAGGCAAATTCTTCTCGGTCGACTCGGCTGAAGCCGGACTCCCCTCCCGGTCACCCCAAGTCAGGAAACACTGAAGCGGCGTCCACATGCAGGGCTCTTGGTTGTGCTCCACCAGCTCCACCGACCACAACGTCGGGTCTGCCTGAGTTCCGCGAGCCTGACTGAGACCTGGTCTCCCAGCCCGGGTTCGAGCAGTGACTGAGGGCGGGACCTGCTGGTGCGCAGGCGCAGGCAGCCCTCGGAAGCAGCGCTCAGAACTTGGGTTATGCGGAAGTCCGCGAGGGTCGGCATGGTGGTCTCAGGCCTCGGCGGGCTGGGGGGCCGCCTTCCCGCCAGCAGCCGGACCCGTGCTAGCCGGGGCCTTGGCCGCAGCTCCTGGAGGCCCGGGCCGGGGCCGGCGCGCGGGCTTCTCCCCGCTGTGGATGCGCTGGTGATGGAAGAGGGCGGGGCGCTCGCGGAAGGCGCGGCCGCACTGCGCGCAGGCAAAGGGCTTCTCGCCGGTGTGGATGCGCTGGTGGCTGAGCAGCACAGCGCCCTTGGCGAAGGCCTTGCCGCAGTCAGCACAGCGGAAGGGCCGCTCGCCCGAGTGCAGCAGCTGGTGCTGCGTGAGGTTGGAGCTGTGGCTGAAGGCGCGGCCGCACTGTGCGCAGGCGAAGGGCTTCTCGCCGGTGTGCACACGTTGGTGCTTGAAGAGTGAGGAGCCCTGGCTGAAGGCGGCGCCGCAGAGCGCGCATGCGTACGGCTTCTCGCCCGTGTGTGTGCGCTCGTGCTGGATCAGGTGCGAGTTGCGGCAGAAGCGGCGGCCACAGCGCGCGCAGGCGTAGGGCCGGCCGCCCGCGTGGATCTTGCGGTGCTGGCTGAGGTTGGAGCCATGGCTGAAGGCCTTGCCGCAGTCTCCACAGCGGAAGGCCTTCTCGGCTGTGTGGATGCGCTGGTGCCGCACCAGCGACGAGCTGTGGCGGAAGGCCTTGCCGCAGGCCGCGCATGCATACGGTGTCTCTCCGCTGTGGATGCGCTGGTGCTGCGTCAGGTGAGAGGTCTGGCTGAAGGCCTTGCCGCACTGCGCGCATGCATACGGCCGCTCACCGGTGTGCGTGCGCAGGTGCTTGAGCAGGTCCGAGCTCTTGACAAACACCTTGCTGCACGCACGGCACTCGAAAGGCTTCTCCCCCGCGGCAAGGAGCCCAGGCCCAGCCCGCAGCATCTCCTCCCCGGTGGCCAGGAGCCCGGGCCCGGCCCGCAGCGTCTCCTCCCCGGTGGCCAGGAGCCCGGGCCCGGCCCGCAGCGCCTCCTCCCCGGTGGCCAGGAGCCCGGGCCCGGCCCGCAGCGCCTCCTCCCCGGTGGCCAGGAGCCCCGGCCCAACCCGCAGCGCCTCGCCCAGTGCCGCCCAGCCCGGGGCCTCGGCCCAGGCTGCACCTGCACACATGTCCCCGAGGGCAGGAACCGGGACTGGGACGGGCTGGAAGGCGCCCTCGGAGCCCAGGCCACCCAGCCTGGGCCGCCGGGTCCTCCGAGGTCGCCGGCCCCGCGCGCGACCACCCGCCAGGACCTTGGGCCTGGTTGGGCCACCCTCGGGGGGCTTCTGCGGGGAGGTCAGCCGTAGACCCACGCCCTCCTCGTGGCCTGCGCCCGGCAGCAGCCGCTCCCAGTAGATGACCGACACCCCAGCAGGCCGTCTCCCAGGGGGTGGGGAGGCCCTGGCAGCGGAGCCGTTCCCCTGAGTCCCCCCGATGCTGTCTGGAGGAAGGCCTGCTAGTCCAGAAGGCTTGTCCTCCACCAGAGAACGGGCACCTGGAGTCGGAGGGAGAGAAAAGAGTGGTTGGGGTTACCCGAACACAGCAGGTGAGCAGGCGTATGGAGGCCTGGTGGAGGCAGGGGCCCTAGGAGGAGCGAGGTCCAGGCTAGCCAGGCAGTGAACCGGCCAGGAGCACGTGCTGCCTCTCTGTACCTGGTTCCCACTCAGCCCACCCGTGCCACATGGGGACAGCAGCGCCTGCACGCCACCTGTGCCTCTGCACCAGCACACACACCCACACCACAGGGGATAGCAACCCCTGCACCCCGGGCCTGCACACCAGTGCCCACAGCAACCCCTACACACCACCCGGGCCTCCGCACCAGCGCCCATCCGTGCCACAGGGAGACAGCAACGCCTGCACCCTGGGCTTGCATGCCAGCGCCCACAGCAACCCCTGCACGCCACCTGGGCCTGCACGTCCCCGGGTCCTCCGCGCCAGCACCCACACCCGCGCCACAGGGGGACAGCAACCTCTGCACGCCCCCCGGGCCTCAGTGCCAGCGCTCACAGCAACCCCTGCATGCCACCCAGGCCTCCATATCGGTGGTCCCATCTTCCCCCACCAAGCCCAGTGCTCACTCCAGCTTTTCTCCTTGTTCTGATCTTTAACTGAGTCTATGGGCTACTTGTGAATCCCGTTTTCTACCTCTCCTGCTGGGGCAGATCCACAGCAAGACAAACGTTTCCTGGCCATGCTGTATCCAAGTGCCCAGTCAACACTTGAACACAAAGGAGGAAGGGAGGAAAGAACAGACTCACAAGCATGTGCAGGAGCTACGTGGAGGAGCCGCGGAGCCCAGCCACAGCAGCTTCTCACCAAGTTTGCTTGTGAACCCAGCCTTTGTGCCCTGGAACAGTATGGGAGCAGCCAGGCTCCCACATCCAGGGCAGGCTGATGAAGGAAGAGTGGGAGGTGGGAGGCAAGGGGATGTCTGTGGAGCCAGGACTCACCGAGGATGTGCCTCTCATCGGTGCTGCCAGCCAGACCTGTATCCATCTCACTAAGAACCCAGGGTTCCTCCCCACGCTGGATCAGGACAACCACACGAGGTCGGGAGGCAGACAGACCTGGGAGGGAGGTGATCAAGTAAGTGGCCAGTCCAAGCTTAAGTCAGCCCACTTCCCAATAGATGGCAGCAATCAGGGATTATCAGTGCTGGGTGTGCAGCCAGGAAAACCCAAAACTCAAACCATAGAGTGGACTGTAGAGGGCACTCATGAGTGGCCCCTAGGTTGGTAGCACCAAAGGAAGGGGACTGGGACAGGCACAGAAAAATGCAGCCAGACAGCACCAAGGAAATACAGGAAATGGTTAAGCGAGGTTAAGCCAGACTGCACATCTCCAAGCCCTCCCCCCCATCCCAACTTCACAGCCTCAGGGCACAAGATTCTGCTCACAGCTAGGCTGTGAAGGAGGGGAGCAGCAGGGATGCCCCAGAGATTTACCCAGTGACGTCACAAGGGCAAAGTTCTCCAGCATCACATGGCGGTACAAGGCCTTCTGCGTGGCGTCCAGGAGCAGCCACTCTTCCCAGGAGAAATACACGGCCACATCCTCAAAGGTCATCAGGCTCTGTAACAGGCAGGGGACAGCATCGAAGACAGGGCAGAGTGACCAAGGGCTCAGTTCCCAGTCCTGATGGCCATTTCCCCCTGGTGCCTCTTGGATACTCATTCTCCTTCCCTCATCTACCCTGACCTGTCTTCAGATGGCACTTTTGCTACTAGTCTGTGTCTCCTTCTCCTTACCTCTACCTCCATATACAGACAACAGATGCTAGCTCGGCTTCCTTGCTGCCCACTTTACACAAGAAAGAGCAAGCATAAAACCCTTGGCTGGAGACAAATGCCTAAGTCCCAACTCTGGGCCCCCAGGTCATGTCCATCCCTAGGATTCTCCACTGCTGTACCTGCCTAACATTTCAAAGCTGGTCCTTCAGAGACTGGATAAGCTGCACCAGCTTTCACAGGGAACTGACCCTGAGGACCTGGTGAATATAAAGTCAAGCCTTCCCTTTCTCACAGCTCCCTATTTCCACTCTACTGAACAGGCCCATGAGATCATCCCTTCCTCTGTCCAATTTCTAGACCCATCTCTGGGATAGGATACCAAAACCTTGTACGCCGCACATCTACAATTTTAGGTCCACCAACCCCTCCACACTACTACATCAGAGATTCTTGATCTTTTCCCTGAAAGAAACCTCCTTTCCTTTCCAATTACTACTATTTCTGTCGACAGCAACTCCATTCTTCCAGGTGCTAAGGCTGAAAAACTTGAGAAGGTTCTTCATTCACAGCGCTGGCTCACAACTACCACGTGACACAACAGCAAATCTACCTATACTTCTACCATCTCCAACCACCACTGCTCTTCTGGTTTAGAGGTCACTATTACTTGTATGGTGGCAGTACCTTCCTCCTTTATAGGACAGCTCCCCACCCCATATGTGTTCTCCACTCAGTAAGAAGTGGTAGGCCTTTAAAATACCGAAAGGGCCAGGCATGGTGACAAATGCCTGTAATTATACTACCTAACTAAAGGTAGAGATCAGAAGAATTGAGGTTCAAAGCTAGCCTGGGCTGGTGAGGAGGGTGGGAATCAAATCCCATCTCAGCTGACAAGCTAGGTGTAGTGATAGCCAAACGAGATCCAAGTTACAGAGAATCAAGGTCTGAGGCTAGCCCAGGGGGTAAAATCCTGAGACTCAGTCTGAAAAAATAGCTAGTGATAAAGCACTCACCTAGCAAAAACAATGACCCGAGTCGAAACCCAATACTACCAAAAAAAAGTCCTAACTGGGTGGTGTCAATTTCCAGTCACCCCTCCCGGGCACCCATGTCCCTGCCGCTTGTGGCCCTCAGACGTGTCCAGAGCTCCGCATCTCCGTGCTCTGCCTCAGCGGCGGCCTGTGCACGTGAGCCGTCCTTCCAGACCACGCCCCGCTGGGCGGCCCGCGGGTCCCAGCCCCCGACCCTGGCAGCCGGCTCGGCAAGCACCGCCTCCCGCCCCGGGGCAGCCGGAGGGCTGGGCGGGCTTCGGGCTAGCGTTCTCGGGAGGGTCCCCGTACTCACCCTCGGAGGATCGGTCACCGCCCTCGCCGCGGCCATCGGAGCCACCACGGGACCCGCGGCTGGGTGACCCGCCACGGCCTCAGTCTCCCCGTCTAACAGGGGCGCAGGCCCCAGGGGAGAGTGGTGGGACTGCGGCGGGGGCTGAGGAGCACGTGGCTGCCAGCCCGGCCAGACGGCCCCGCCGGGAAGCCGAGACGCACGGTTCCGACCAGCCGGCGCCTGGAAGCGGGCGCTCCGCCGCCGCCTCCCTCGGGGCCCTCCAGCCGAGTCCCCAGAACCTCCTGGAAAGCCGGCCCAGCCCCTCGTGCTACCGCCGACCAACTGTACAGTCTGATGTCCTGCAGCAAAGTGACAGTCCCAAATGCCGGAAGTCCCGCCCTCCGGCCCTCACTGGCCCAATAGAGGCGGCGGGCGCTCGCGCAAGGCCTTCTGGGCAGCGTAGTTCCTCTTTGCCTTTCCACGAGACCGGAAGTAACTTCATGGTTCCTATGGCAACGGCCAAGCGTCCCTTCCCGCGTGAGAGAGCCTGCCCCTCGCACCCCTTCCCGCCGGCCCGGCGGGCGGGTAGATTTAGGCTCTCGCGTTCCCGCGCCCATTCGAGCGGGCACAGACTCAACCCTGATGCGCCGAGTGGAAACTTTCAGAGTCCAGGAGGTGACCCCGGGCAGGGAGGACCACGGAGACAAAGGAAGGGAAAGGTTTGCGTCCAGAGACAGCAACGTACTGGCGGAGGAAAACTGAGGACGGCGGTTCGAAGTCGGTCCGGGCAGGAAATCCAAGGACCCTGAGCTCCAGTTAACCAGCAGAGAAGCCAGAAGGAGAGCCGTGGCTCAGCCTCGAGTGAAAGAGCCAGGGGAGGGCTGGGAAGGTGGCTCAGTGATAGAGCGCTTGCCTTCCATGCAGAGTTCAGGCCCCATGACCTGACCCAAAAAAAACAAAAAAAACAAGAAAGTTATAAGACTGTGTTTGAAACAACTCAAGAAGCTTCTGCTTCCAAAACTGGATTGTCTAGTTACTTTTATTGTTGTTGTTGTTTTGGTCAGTTTTGGGATAGTAATTTACCCTATCACCTTAATTTTTTTGGGGGGGGGTCCGGTCGTGGGGCCTGAACTCTGGGCCTGGGCGCTGTCCCTCAGCTCTTCAGCTCAAGGCTAGCGCTCTACCACTTGAGCCACAGCGCCACTTCCGGCTTTTTTCTTTTTTGCTTGTGTGGTGTTGAGGAATCAAACCCAGGGCCTTGAGCATGCAAGGCAAGCGCTCTACCACTGAGCCACCTTCCCAGCCCCTATCACCTTAATTGCTTGATTATCTACGAAGAGTTGATTTTCAATTCAGCTTTTTCCTTACTGTGAGGACACCTTGATGATTTCTAAGCTTATCTGCACTGGTAGTTCACATCTGCAACCCAAACTATTCAGGAAACTAGGATCTGAGGATCACCATTCAAAGCCAGACCAGACAAGAAATTCCGTGAGACTCATCTCTAATTAACCACCTACATGCCAAAAGTGGAATTGTGGCTCAAGTGATTGAGCCTGGGGTGGGCAGGGCCAATCAAAAGCATAAGGCTCTGAGTTCAAGGCCTAGTACCCACATAAAAAAATATTGAGCTGCCGGGCGCTGGTGGCTCACGCCTGTAATCCTAGCTACTCAGGAGGCTGAGATCTGAGGATCGCGGTTCAAAGCCAGCCCGGGCAGGAGAGACCGTGAGACTCCTATCTCCAATAAACCACCAGAAAACCGGAAGTGGCACTGTAGCTCAAGTGGTGGAGCGCTCGCCTTGAGCTGAAGAGCTGAGGGACAGCGCCCAGGCCCAGAGTTCAAGCCCCACGACTGACGAAAAAAAAAAATATTGAGCGTTGGGCTGGGAAGGTGCCTCAGTGGTAGAGAGCTTGTCTTGTATGCCTCAGGCCCTGGGTTCAATTCCTCAACACCACATAAGCGAAAAGAAAAAAGCCGGAAGTGGCGCTATCGCTCAAGTGGTAGAGCGGTAGCCTTGAGCTGAGGGACAGCGCCCAGGCCAGAGTTCAGGCCCCATGACCGGACCCCCCCCAAAAAAAAAAGAAAATGAGCGCTGTGCTTGTGGCTCACACCTTTAATCTTAGCTACTCAAGAGGCTGAGGGTGGCCGTTTGAACTCACTCCAGTGAGAAGGTCTGTAAAGACACTTATCTCCAGTTAACCACCAGAAAACCAGAAATGGAGCTGTGCATCCAGGTAGTACAGTGCTGTAAAGACACTTATCTCCAATTAACCACCAGAAAACCAGAAATGGATCTGTGCCTCCAGGTAGTCCCAGGCCCTTAGGGCAGGCTCTGTGACCGACCCAAAACTACATTACCCAGAAGTCCGCTCGCCCGACGCGACCACTCGGGCCAATGACGGCCCAGGGAAGGCAGGACTTCCTGAGACGAGGTCGCTCCCGCCTTTGGTTGGCTCGCGGCTGGGAGGCTGGCTAGTGTCCGCCCTGGGCTGTGTGTCACCCCCACTTGAGCCACAGCGCCACTTCCAGCTGTTTTTTTTCTTTTTGTTTATGTGGTGCTGAGGAATCGAACCCAGGGCCTCATGCATGCAAGGCAAGCGCTCTACCACTGGGCCACCGTCCCAGGCCTTGTGCAACTCTTATGTCCAATTTAAACAGGAAAAAAAATCTAGAAGGGGAACTGTGGCTCAAGTGGCAGAGAACTAGTCTTGAGTGCAAAAGCTCAGGAAGAGCGCCCAGGCCCAGGTCATGCACACACACACAAAATAAGGGCGGGGGGGATGTGGCTTGGTGGGAAACAGCTTGCCTAACAGGCAGGAAGCCCTGGGTTCGATTCCTCAGTACCACATACACAGGAACAACCGGAAGTGGTTGTGGCCCAAGTGATAGAGCACTAGCCTTGAGCAAAAGAAGTTCAGCGATAAGACCCAGGCCCTGAGTTCAAGTCCCAGGACTGAAAAAAAAAAAAAGCCAGAGGATTGTGGTTTTAAGCCAGCCCTTGCCGGAAAGTTCCTGTGAGACTCATCTCCAATTAACCACTCAAAAATGAATAGAGCCATGATTCAAACTGTTATAGCACTAGCCTATCCAAAGAGCTCAGGGACAGTGCACAGGTACCAAGCTCAAGCCCTATGACTAACAAAAAAAAAGTAAACATGACAAGTAGATAGATTGATGGTTCACAGATATAATCCCAGCCATCTGGGAGGGTGAGATCTAAGGGTCTTCATTAGAAGTCAGAAAAGTCCATAAGAGGGCTGGGAAGGTGGCTCTGTGGTAGAGTGCTTGCCTTGCATGCATGAGGCCCTGGGTTCGATTCCTCAGCACCACATAAGCAGAAAAAGCTGGAAATGGCACTGTGGCTCAAGTGGTAGAGCGCTAGCCTTGAGCTGAAGAGGTGAAGGACAGTGCCCAGGCCCAGAGTTCAGGTCCCACAACCAGCAAAAAAAAAAAAAAGAAAAAGAGAAGTCCATAAGACTCCATCTCCATGGGGGCTGGGAAGTTGGCTCAGTGGTAGAGCGCTGGCCTTGCATGCATGAGTCCCCGAGTTCGATTCCCCAGCACCACATAAGTAAAAAGAAAAAAAGCCGAAAGTGGCGCGGTGGCTCAAGTGGTAGAGCGCTAGCCTTGAGCTGAAGAGCTGAGGGACAGTGCCCAAGCCCAGAGTTCAGGCCCCATGACTGGGCCAATCTCCAGGGGCTGGGAAGTTGGCTCAGTGGTAAAGTGCTTGCCTTGCATAAATGAGGCCCTGGGTTCGATTCCTCTATACCACATAAGCAAAAAAAAGCTGGAAGTGGCACTGTGGCTCAAGTGGTAGAGCGATAGCCTTAAGCTGAAGAACTGAGGGACAGTACCCAGGCCCAGAGTTTAGACCCTACGACCGTACCCCCCCCAAAAAAAAGACTCCATCTCCAATTAAACAGCGAAGTTTTGAGGTGAGAGGTAAAGAAGGAAGATACAGGCTATGGACAGAGGTGGGAAGAGGACCCTACAATCCTACATTAAGTAGCTTAATGCAGCCCCTGGGCTCTGTCACCAGCCTTCTCAGTGGTAGAGAGGAGACCCAGGATCCCAGTTGGGCGAGTGTAAAAGCTACAGTAGCACCTTGCAGACAGCTAGGAGAGGGGTCCCTTCAGCTATTACCCTCAACCATATCCTGCCCTCTCTGGTTCACTTGGCTTTGTGCAAGCCTGCTAGCTATCTCAATACCAGCGTGCTTGCAGATAGTCTGGGGTTCTCTCCTTCAGACAGCCCTCACAGACCACCTTTAGGCAGATATTTTCCTGTCTTCTATGTATTGCCAGTCTAGGATCCCTTTCTGGCCCATCCAAATCTGCCCACCTTTACTTCCCCAGTGGGGAGTAAGATCTGAAACTCTTTGGTGGGTCCTCACAGATATCCAGGTCCCAATTACCGGAGACCTGTGAACCTGCTGCCCTCATAGCAAAATGGATGTTAGAGATGAAAGATCTTGAGGTAGGAGATTATCTTGGGTTGTCTATGTATTCCAATTTAATCCTAATGGCCTTATAAATAAAGTAATTAAGGAAAGCAGTTCTACAAGTTGTAAAAGCTTAGGAAATAAGATTCTCACAGAGCTTCCAGAACTAGGACTGTTGGCTTGTCTTATCCACTTCAACTCAAAGAAATGATCTTGAGCTTCTGGACAATAGAACTGTAGGATGGTAGATGTACGTTGTTCTACATTAACACTGACCAAAGCACAACTGCTGATACACAGGGTTCTCTCCCTCCCAGGGAGATGGGCCACAGCATCCCGGTGAGCCAGCACACTGGTCCCCAGACCCGTGGATGACGTTGGCATCTGGGTGGTGGCCAAGAACTAGTCTGGGGAGACACACCCCTGGGCTCCCTAACATTCCTCCTATGGCTTCTCATGTGGAAAAAGCAGCTCGGACCTAAAGCAGCCATGCAGACAGGTCTGGCTCAGCCCCACAGACATGTCCGGGTGCCTCTCAGTTACCTCCGTGCTGAGAACACACGTGTAAATACACCACAAGAAAGCCTCCAGCTGCATAGAAATTGTGTTTCTTTCTGAAAAAAGAAATATGCTAGATGTTTGTCCACAGCACAGCCCGGTTGGGAGGAGGCGGTGGGCGTTCCAGACTGGTGGTCAGTCTGTGCAGGGGTGGCCGCCTCTGGGAGGGTGGACTGGAGGTGAGGAACAGTCCATCTTAGAAGCATAGGTGCAGGGATGAGGCTCGGCTTCAGCTGGAGTTCAGGAAGACTGGGCACGGCTGACAGGAGTCTCCAGAGGAAAATCAGTGTCCCCAAGAAATTCATGGGCCTCATGCACCCAGGACGGGGCCAGGGACCCTCCAGCCGGCCGGGGAGGCCGATCACACCCCCCTGCCCAATCCACTCTAAGTGCGGTCTCTTAGCCGTGACACCGGCAGCCGCCATCGCAGTGAGAGGGGCCCGGAAGCCGGAGGGGAGCCGGCTCTAGGATGGTTCATGGTTCAGGATGCTGGTGAAGGTAAGTCTTGGGGAGCTGGTTCCCTTGGTCCAGGACACCCCGTCTGGGTTGAGTTCTGGCCGGGCACAGGGTGCTCGGTAGGGCGGCTGCTCCCCGGCCCGGTGGGGGGCCCGGCAGGTGGAAGGGGCAGCAGCAACCTTCTTGCCCAAGACGGGGCCGGGGCCGGGGCCCCGGACGCGACGTCAGGGGCCGGCCTCTTCCCCCCTGGCGCCGTCTCGAGGCGGCTCCCGCGTCCTCCCGGGCCCCGCAGCGTCCTCCGGGCCCCTGTCGGTCTCCAGCCCGGGCTCCCGCGTCCCCCGGGGTCCCACAGCGTCACCGGGGCCCCCGTCGGGCTCCAGCCCGGACCCCGCAGCGTCCTTGGGGCCCTCGTCGAGCTCCAACCCGGGCCCCACAGCGTGCTCGGAGCCCCCGTCGGGCTCCAGCCCGGGCTCCGGCGGGAAGGCGGCGGGGATCCCGGGCGGTGACGGCCGCGGCGGGAACCAAGGGAGGTCGGGCGGGGGCGCCAGAGCCACGATCTGGGGCCGCGCGGGGCCAACAGCGGTGGCGTGCGGGATGAGGAAAAAGATGTAGACCCCCGAGACCACCAAGCCCGCAGCCACCAGCACGGCCAGCGCTACGGCGGCATTGAAGGCCCAGGCGGGGCTGCTGAGCGACAGGCGGCGTGAGAGCGGGCGGCC